CTTAAAAGGAAACAGCGCATTAATATAGAACAGTGATTAAACTGACTTGGAACTACCTGTGCATTATTGCACACCTTCCAGCCAATCAGAATCAAGGATTCAGACAGACCATCGGTATAATAACAAACGCCCAACTCGTGTTTTTCAGCTGCACTTAAAGACAGAATGTGAGCCTCGTAAATATGGTCTTCCTGTAAGCGCTCTAAAACACTGAATGAATAACTAAAGCATTCACAAAATTCTATTATAATAATGTTCTCAAATGTTATTTCAAGGACAGTTTTATACATTTAAAATCAAATATTGAATGCTTGATTTCATTTAGAATTTTTCCGTAAAAGTTAATCACAGTAGAAATGACTAGAAAATGAATGAATAGGAAAAATATTGACAAGACATTTTCATAGAAAGACAGAATCTATTACCAAATCAAAATAAAAACGGTGAAAAGCCATTTCAACAATGACCCTGAGGGAGTTTTCCCATCCATCCTGTCTGTCACACTTGCTGCTCGGTGAGGCAACAGTGCTGAGACGGCCATGGCTAATGGGCGCTGCAGCAGGTCAGGTCAGTTTGGAGAAGAGAACGGGGGGGGGGGAGAGAGGTAGAGGTGACCTTCTTACTGTACCATTTTAGCCTGTCCAGGCCAGTGCGGTAGAAGGGATGTGTCCGTGGGGAAAGTCAGACAGATGCTGTTTCTCTCACTCCCTCGCTTTTCCGCCCTGTGGGTGAGACAGAGTGCAGTCTGGCCCGTGCAGCTGCCACCCGCACCATCAGGAGCCTCTTCTGCATGCTTCTCCTCCATGACCTACACACTAAACTTCACTTTTGAAGGAACCACACCAGCTCAGGCGGGATAATCTTTAGGAATGTGTCCAGAAGTTCAAATAAGTTTGTTTATAAATGTATTGACCGACTGTGTATTGACATCCGTGTGTGGCGATGATGAGTGAATGAACGTGTGGGTGAAGGGGGTTGAGAGAAAGAGCCAAAAGCGAGGGGAGGCTTCATACCAGCTGCTAAACATGACATTTCCTGGCTGGGCCTTCGGTCCCCAGCAGGGGCGACATCTGTGTGCCTGCCTTTCATCCCCCTCTGCTCCTCAGGCAAGATGGCTGAACTACCTGCAACAGGGCACAGGCCCCCGAGACAGCCAGCACTCTCTACTCCAGCCAGCCAAAGCCTCTCCCAGCTGGGCTCCTGTTGCCTGGGGCCTGAAGCCTGAAGCCCAGGCACCCAGCTGCAGTGTCTACCCTTCCCTTGGCCCTGTTTGATCCTCCGCCCACAGTCCCTCTGTACACACACCAGTCACCTTCAGCCCTCGGAGGAAAGATCATGCTGGCTTCACACCTCTGAGCTGTTCTCGCTGGAATTAGAGTTTTTTTGGTCTCGAGGGAGCTATATTTGTACAGAGCATGGTTTCTTCATTGCTAAATAACTATAATGGCACTATATTTTCAGTAAGTTGCTCAAAAAGTTTGGTTCCTACCAACAAGCAGCTTTGTAGGGAGACTATATTATATCCCTTTGTAGCAGACTCCGTTATTAAATGCTATGATATGAAAAAAGAACTCTTTACGCTGATAAATATAAAAGTCTGATTCATTTCAGTGAATTCAGAAATATAACATATCAAAAAGAGTTCAGCTTCTTGACTGTCTGAGTAATGAGAATATTTTTTGTTTTTGAAATAAGACTCTTAAGTTGCAATTATTTGATCAATAATACAGTAAAACAAACAGTAATATTGTGAAATATTATTATAATTTAAAATAACTGTTTTTTATTTTATATTTTAGGATGTAATTCATTGATGTGATTGCAAAGCTGCATTATCAGCATCATTACTTTGTCTTCAGTGTCACATGATCCAGAATTCAGCATATGCTGATTGGATGCTCAAGAAACATGTCTTATTATTATCAAAGATAAAGGGATACAGTTGTGATGCTTAATTTTTTTGTGGAAACCATACTTTTTCAGGATTCTTTGATGAATTGTTATCTTGTAGTTAACTGTATAGCCACTGTAGCTTAGCAAGCCACAATTTCCTAACAGTTTCCTAACTCAAAACTTGTTGAGGCACATGAAATATATCTCATATAATTCCAGAACTGTTTGACCACCTCCTGTGGAACACAAAAGTAGACATTTTGAAAAATGTTTTTTGTCCAATGCAATGTTTTGGACACCACTAACAAGAACTTTAAAATAATGTTTGTGTTCCTCAGAAAAAAAAATAAACTTATGCCGGTCAATATGAAGATGAATAAATTGAAACAGAATTTTCATTTTTGGGTGATCTATCCCTTTAAGTCAATGCCGAAGTTGCTGGTTACCGGAAAGTGCAGCATATCTTGTTCCTGTAACTGTGTACTTTCAAAGTCAGCTTGGTCTTGGTTTCATGAGGAGATTTGATTATTTGAAGCCCAGTTAAAAATTGGAAAAGTTTTTTCACCTCAGTTCATTGATTCTTAGTTTCTCACGTAAAATATTGGCCATGCAGAATTTCCTCACAGATCCCAAAACTCCAGTTTAGATTGCAAAACTCCAGGAGCCACAGACTTATCAAAGCCACATGTTGAGGCGAAGACTCTGGTTTGCCACAGTGAACGCCTGGACAGTGTGGTTTTGGACAGGTCTAGTTACAGTTCTAGTTACATGTATGCTGCAAAGTTTCTTCATGGAAAAAGAGGCAAATGTATTCCGAGAAGGATGGCAGTGTTGTATTGTACGTCATTTTGTAAGCAGCATATACAGAGGGTGTATATATACATAAGTTAAGAGAATGTTAGTAATTGTTGAATAAATCAGCTGGCAATTTAAAAAGTCACCATAATGGTTATGATACTGTGAGCATATTTAACATAGTCAGCATTTTAAAACTCTAACTACAACACTCCCTTATGACTTTTAAATGATTCCCAAAATGATTTCGAACTATCAAAGAAGGAACTTTGAATCAAAGATAGCAGATTTATTTCTAGCCATTTGCATTTCTACTCATTAGCCAGTCCTATACTGTCACCATTTTCAGAGAAATATTCAAGCGCATCTGCTTTGAGTTCTTCAGCAACAGCCAAAATCTTCCTCTCTTCTACTTTATTGACTGTGTAAGTTATCAGCAAATTTCCTAATGGAGCTGTTCGGATGTCTTTTCCTTGGGTTAATGATTTCCTTTTTTTTTACCAGGCCATTTATTCATAAGAGAATTTGGTCCTGCCCTTCACTAAGAGACAATCACTTCTCTGTGAAAGCGATGGGGCAGTTTGGCAAGCAATGGATTTCCTCATGTCATCTCTCAAGGAAAAAGTGTGCTTGGCTCAGAATAACAAAATATAACACTGTCACAACGTAAGGCAAATCCACAGCCTGTGAAGAGCAGGCACCTAGCCAAGCACTTTTATGAGAGTGGAGGACATATTTATGCAGTACTTACACTAATGGAAGCACATTTAAGAGGTAGAGGCAGGGAGGGACATTTATGCATTTTGTTTTCTCCTTAAAGTAGTCTCTAAGAAAAGTTGAAAATGGCCCAAACTCTTATTTCAAAATGACAATTCCTCTTGAAATGGAGCAATAGGCCTATAGCACCATGTTGTCAAAGAAATGCTGTACAAATTATTGCAAATAATCCCCTTTGCAAGTAAACACACCTTGGCATAAAACAGTTAAATTCAGGTACACTCTAAAAAATGATAGGTTGTTTCAACCCAAATTTGGGTCAAATATGGACAAACCCAATTGTTGGGTTAAAAATGTACAGTTCAAAGTGAAAGTTGATGTTGGGTTAAAACTTTAAATAAGATTTTTAACCTAACATTTGGGTTTGTCCATATTTGACCCAAATTTGGGGCAAAATAACCCAGCATTTTTTAGAGTGTATCAACAATGGATTTCCATTAAATGTGTATAAAATTCAAAAGGAAATAATTGAATTAATATTCTGTTGGGTAAATTCAATAAAGTGATGCAGTTTTCCACCACTAACTCGGCTGCTGGAGTGTGAAGTGCTGTGTGTGATAGGATAGTGTCTACCTCGATTTTACTGTTTTTAATGGCTAAACAAAAGTTTGGTTTTCACCAAAACTGAAAGAAACACTTAGCCGTGCAATAACACTTAGCCAGCCAAAATAACCAGCTATGCATGCTTAAACTCTTGGGTACTTTATTAAGTGTTAAAATGAGTCCTGATCTACCCAAATGGATCTTAAATTATCTCCTTTTGTGTTACAGAAAGAAAAAAAATCACAGAAAGATTTGATTCATTGTTTTATATAGCTATTTACTGATGAGTAAATTCCGAAAATGTTTCTGTTTTTCTCACCACCTTAAAATGAGAATTGTACCACACCATGCAGCTATAGGCAAAGAAGCTCAAACTTTTACCTGTGCTGCTCAACAATAGAAGCTCACAAATAATCCTGGGCGGTTTGCATGTTATCCTCTATCTGCCCTTTCAGCCAGCCTGCCAGGCTCACTCTATCGGCAGATTGCACGCTCACATGCAAAATACTATTGGGGGTTCATCGTGCAGCTGTACTGCTCTGGGCATTCTCGTACGCATATGCATACGAAGAAACACGCATGCTGTGAAATATTCAAATGCTGGGATTGGTGTGTTGTCTGTGGCACAGTGCATTACTGTTAAGTGCTACAAAGAGTTATTCTTTTGTTGCAGACTCAACAGACACCTCCCACCCCACCCCACCTCGCTCAATAACAGGCTAGTGCATAACTGTTTGTCTTGCAAATGACATAAGCTCTATGGGCATCAACTTCATTGTAGAATTGGCTAAAGATTGGCTACTTAAAGTGGTAGTTCCCTCCGAAAAGAAAATTTGGTTGCTGCCGTTGCTGTTGTTGTGTAAACGTACCCTGAAACTATCAAGCTTCAAAAATGACAAAAAGTAACATAAAAGTATCCAAAAGTAGTGCATAACATTTCAGCTCTATTCCAATTCTACTGCAGTCATGCAATTAAAGTCAGTGAAGTTTAATGTTTTGTTTTTAATTGATTGAGCAAATGATTCTGATTCATTCATTTTGTGAATTTGATCACCCAATCATACAATTCCTTGACAAATTGACTACTTCTCTCATGCACAGCAAAGACAGGTAGGTGTGAATAATGGCTTAAATTGCGATGACAATGTAATTGTGTGGAGCGTGCGCTACCTTTCATAGTGCTTTTGTGTCCTTTGTGAAGCCTGAAAGCCTCATTCTCTAATCATTTTAACTGTATGGAAAAGAGCAAGCATAATTCTGCTTTGTGTTTTACAGAATAAATCAGTGATATATGTTTGGAACAACATAAAGGTGAGTAAACGATGACAGAATTTTTATTTTTTTTGGCTAAAGGATACCTTTTACCAGAATGTATCCGACTTAATACAGGCATGCACAGAGGAAACTCTGAGAGCTTTAAAGATACGTGTGGTCAGGCTTGTCAGGCCTCATTTCGACACTGTTGGAAAATCTGAGGCTGATTCCTGTGGTACACCACAATGAGTTGTAAACTTTCAGAGATGGATGATAACCAGAATCCTTGAGGGACAACAAGAGGCTGTCTATCGAGAGCTTCTGAAGCACAACACCCTGGCATTCAGCAGACAGTGAGTCTGAATTCTTTCAGTGTTCTCTTGTTATGTTGTTGTCAATTGTTTTGCCACATTTTCTGCAGGCTTGCCTTCCATAATTTGTGATAATTAGGGGAAGTATGCTTGACTTTTTTCCAAAACGTGACCCATAATACACTGGTAATTTGATACTACTAATGAGCATTTGTATGGCGTGCATTATCTGTAGAAATAACTGTGAAAGCAGTTCAAAAACATCTTGCGCATCAAAAGCATGTGTGCCGCCATAACTGAAATGTTTGTTGATAAATGTTTAAATGTGAATAAAAACCCTAAATCTGGTCTTCATATAAAGCAAAAATTGGACTAAACTGCTAAATTCATATGGATTTGTTGTATAATCTCTTTATGAACTTTTTAAAAGCATCAAAGTGGTAGTTGCGTAGACTGTCAATGGAGGGAGAGAAATCTCACAGATTTCATTAAAAGTATCTTCCTTTCCTTTCTGAAGATGAACAAAAGTCTTGAGTTTGGAATGACATGAGAGTGAGTATATTACTGAATATTTATTTTTAGGTGAACTATCCCTTTAAACTACAGATTTCAACCAGATTAATTTTTCTGACAGTAAAATCCAAAAACACAGTGATAAATGGACTTTTATATTTTTCTCAGATCATTATTTATTGTGTAGATGCCAATGGAAACCTTTGTATCTCTTGCTTTTGTTAATTGGAACAGTTAGAAGGGGAAGTGAAAAGGCAATTTTCACTGTAATGGATCAGGGACCGTTAGGTGACCTGACTTCACTGGTGCTGGAGGTGGTCCATTACTTTTTGCCGAAATACAGAGCTGAAGCACCTCTTCTGCTCGGGATGAAACTGCTGATGGCAGCACTTGATGTGCCAGCTATCAGATTAGAAAACTGAAGCCACAAAATGCTTAGCAGCATAATGCAATTCAGATACGTGTATGTTTTACAAATGGTTTCAAACCAAATGCATCCCACAATAAAATTTTATTTCATACGTATAAACCGCTATAAGTAAGATATTTATAGATTGATTCCCACCAAATAAACATTGTGGCTCTGTGCTCTTAAATCATCATTCTGTTTGTTTGATTGATTGATTGTTCTGTTTGTTGCATCCCAACCACTGCAACCAGCCTGAGACAGAGACACTGGTTAACCATTAGTGTGAGTTTGGGGTAGAACTATTTGTTTACCCAACTAATGGTACTGTTATTTTAATGTTATTACTATTATAGTATTTATTAACATTTTGCTATGCTTGTATTTATTATATTTTCTCATTTTATTATATATATATATATATATATATATATATATATATATATATATACATTATAGTATAGTACTTCAACTTAATTTATTTCAGTTAGTTGCTAGGACTACATTTCACATTCTGGGCTTAAGGCTAATTTTTTCGTCTGATATTTATATTTTATTTTATTTCACATTTATTTCAATTCACAAAGTATTAGTTTTAGTTAACAAAAACAAATAAAGACATTGATGGCATATATATAACTTTTTACATCCAGGAAAAAAAATTATCTCAACAATAGTTGTTTCAGTTGCTGTGACAAGAATATTTATTCACAAACTATGACAATCAAAATTGCATGAACGAACAAATTAAAACAATTATTCCTGAGAAGAAATCAAAAAGAATTGTTGAGACAACTCAAAAGTCATACTGCATCAAGTTGGCTTATATTTTTACATTTTCGCAACTATTTATTTTTTACATTATCTTGACAGAATATTCTAATCAATGACTAGAAGACAACTACACATCGCCTAAGCTACATAAATTCATCAACTAACCATTCGGAAACGGCCTGTTCTACACTTCTTCTTGATTCTCTCCATCATTGTCTGACTTCGGTTGAAAATTTTCATTGTGGTTTCGGACGCAGCCCATGTCTGTTTTAAAGTCCCCGTGAAATCAAAATTGAACCTATTTACTTTGTTAGCACATATTACTAGTCTTGTGGTGAACAATTAATCCGTGCAAGTGAATATATATTAAAAAAAATGTTTTACCTTAGTAATCTTTAATCAAAATCTGAAAAGTTACTTCCGGTCTGGAACGGTTTCTTTTTCTGATGACGTAGGTTTCACAGTTTGGGTGGGGAAACGCTTAACCACTCCCCTCAAACCGTTAGTTTGCTATGAGCGAGAGATGGAGAGGAGGAGCGCTAGAGTAAAACCCTGCCCTCTGTTCAATATTCTGTTTCACTTGGAAATACGTCACATCACTGGAGAAAAATCGTTTGCAACTTCCGGTTCACGGGGACTTTAAGGAGGTTATCGAAGCTCCGCCCTCTTTGCCGGGAGTAGCAGCTCATTTGCATTTAAAGGGACAGACACAAAAACGGTGTGTTTTTGCCCACCCTCAAAAAGTGACAATTTCAAAATCCTATAAAAAAAATCTGTTGGGTTTTTTTTAGCTGAAACTTTACATACATACTCTGGGGACATCAAATAGTTATTTTACAGCTGATTGGCGCAAACTAAACTGAAACACACCTGTCAAGCCACCTACATAGACAAGGCCACATCTGACCCAAAAACAGTACCAAAACTATAACCTCAACAATTTGAAGAACAATTTGAAGCACCCTAAAACCTGAGCATTACAGGAAGACTAATCCTAACCAGCCATTTCCTCACTTTGTTCACTTCCCTTCAGCCACAGATAACAGCCACATGTACTCTAACACGTGCAGTTCATCGACATGCACCATAGTTGTGCTAAATCTCAGGAATGTGAGAGACAGTCTGTGGATAATAAGCAGACAGAAGATTACGAGGTCCGAGGGAGGAAAAATAGTGGACGGGGTCTGTTTTCAAGACCCCTGAGCAAACAGAGAAGTGAGAAGGTGCGATTGTTTTCTGTTAAAGGGATAGTTCACCCAAAAATGAAAATTCTGTCATCATTTACTCACACTACATCAGTTAAGAAGATATTTTTAAGAATGTCGGTAACCAAACTGTTGACAGGCACCATTCACTTGGGCTCCATCAACTTGGTTGGGTTACCCATATTCTTCAAAATATCTTGTGTTAAGCGGAAGAAAGAAATTCATACAGGTTTGGTGCAATTTAAGGGTGAATAAATGATGTGGGGAAAAAAAATCATTTTTGGGTGAACTATCCTAAAAAATAAATTCGAATATCTGTCACTTACATCATCCATGGTTTAAACACTGTAAAGCAAGAGTATGGCAGAACTATAACAACACCCTATGATGGGAACCTCCCTCCTTGCACTCGGTGGCAGATTAGATTATCTGTCTCAATGCCTTCTGCACACACATTAGCGGATGTCCTTACCCAGGGAAATGAACGCACCATTCCAGGGTGGAGACCAATCATCCTGGAAATAAAAACAGATCTGAGATAAGCACTCTGTCCATCTTTTGAGTCAGCTGGACTGTGTTACAGTAAGTACATGCTGAACTGCATTTTAAAATGACCTCACCCTAAAGACGGTTAATTAGAAGTGATTTTCATCAGGATCTAAGATATCTTAGATCCATGATGCCTCAAAATGATCATCTGCAGCGCATAGAGATGATTACTGCTTTGTCATGAACCTAACAGTGAGGGCAACACAGAAATCTGAGCTGTTGTCTCATGATTCAGTGTCTCCCCTGCAAGGTCTCGCCCACAAATCTCGCTCCTTAAGTCCACAGTTTTTGAAGCAACCTCCGCTTTCTACCCTAGATATATCTTGCAACCACAATGTTTCATTTGTTAGACTTTTACGCAGACAAGGCTTAAGCTAGTCCCAGACAAAAATGCATGTTTGAGCGTTTTTGACTGAAAGCAACTTGCACTGATATATCTTACAATACTGTATGTCAGTGCCATTGTTTTGTCTCAAGATGAACACCAGTAATGTATTTTTTTTTTTCTAATGAACATTTATAAAAGCTACTAAAATGCCCTAACTGAACTAAGGGCTAATCCTGGCTTAGTCTAAGTCCTGTCTATAAAACTGGGCCTTTAATATTTTTAAACTTCACTTTAGATCCATATTTTTATTCCAGCTACTTAAAGGGTTAGTTCACCCAAAAATGAAAATTAAGTCATTAATTACTCACCCCCATGCTGTACCAACCCCGTAAGACCTTCGTTCGTCTTCGGAACACAAATAAAGATATTTTTGATTAAATTTGAGAGCTGTATAACTACCACATTGGCTCCTAAGGGACTGCCTCTTGACGGCCCAGAAAGTCATTGAAGAAAATGTTTAAATATCCCAAGTGACTACCATGGCTCAACTATATGTTTATCAAGCGACGAGAATACTTTTTGTGCATTGACTTTCTGGGCCGTCAAGAGGCAGTGCCTTAGGAGCCTATGTGGTAGTTATACAGCTCTCAAATTTAATCAAAAATATCTTCATTTGTGTTCCGAAGACGAACGAAGGTCTTACGGGGTTGGTACAGCATGGGGGTGAGTAATTAATGACTTAATTTTCATTTTTGGGTGAACTAACCCTTTAATGTAATTGTAAAGGTTTGAGATATAGGTAACAAAACACACACACACAAACACCAATAATTTGAGTTAAAGCTCAATGAAATCGTTTTGCACCTCTAAATTTATAGATGTTTATAACTACCCCTTTTCAGCCATGATCATGTACGATGGCTTTTTGTAGTTTATATGTGGCACTTACATTTTTATTCTGTGTAAGCATAGCGCATTGCCTTTGATATCATCTGGCAGTGATGATGCTGTAGAAGTGGATTTCAGACAGTGCTATGTTTTTTGAAGAGCAATGACAGACGCTCAATGGCAGAGGAACCTCACAGATGGCTTCTAATGGCACTTACTCAGGAAGCGAGAAGCTTCTGCTTTCACCATCATCGCAAGACCATTAACAAATTATGACAATGGTGAATCACAGGTGCAGAATATGACCTCTTGTCAGTGTAAATCTCTAAAATGGCACTACACCAACCAAAAATGGTGGAAAATAATAGAAAATATAATG